TAATATCTTTAAATGTTTATAGTATATTTCAGGTTTTTCAGGTGTTATATTTGTTTCTATGTGTACATTTCATATTCAATAGTCCAGCTGTCTTGCCTAAAGTCACTGGCAGTGAATGGAAATAGTGCAAATATTAATAAATACGTATTAAAACACATTTATTGTGCGTTTTCCCCCATAGTTTAATGCTTAAAGAAAACGTAACTGGACATGTCTGAATCGTTTAGGTTTATAATTACTAGTCGACTAATTCTATGCTTTGTATTTCAATACAGTTATTATTATTAATGGAAAACTATTGCGAGGGATGGCGAAATTACTGTGAGGTAACATAAAACTATAATACAGACATGGCTGCATTATTTAGGTTTATCCATGCCGTCTCATTGCAGCAAGTGGGCAAGTGTATTTTGGGACTGCAGAACTATTGTGTTAAAGTACACAAACTTAAAAGTACATAAAAAAATATAATACATAAATGTACACTGCTCAAAAAAATAAAAGGAACACTTTGGAAACACATCAGATCTCAATGGGAAAAAAGTCATGCTAGATATCTACACTGATTTGGACTGGGTAATGTGTTAGGAACAAAAAGATGCCACATCGTTTGATGGAAATGAAAATTATCAACCTACAGAGGGTTGAATTCAAAGGCACCCCGAAATTCTAAGTGAAAAAATTATACAGCAGGCTAGTCCATTTTGCTGAAAATTCATTGCAGCAACTCAAAATCATACTCAGTAGTTTGTATGGCCCCCATGTGCTTGTATGCATGCCTGACAATGTCAGGGCATCCTCCTAATGAGATTATGGATGGTGTCCTGGGGGATCTCCTCCCAGATCTGGACCTGGGCATCACTGAGCTCCTGGACAGTCTGAGGTGCAACCTGGTGGCGTCGGATGGACCGAAACATAATGTCCCCGAGGTGTTCTGTTGGATTTAGGTCATGCGAACGTGGGGGCCAGTCAATGGTATCAATTCCTTCATGCTCCAGAAACTGCCTGCGTACTCTCGCCACATGAGGCTGGGCATTGTCGTGCACCAAGAGGAACCCAGGACCCACTGCTCCAGAGTAGGATCTGACAATGGGTCCAAGGATTTCATCCTGATACCTAATATCAGTCAAGGTGCCGTTGTCTAGCCTGTAGGGGTCTGTGTGTCCCTCCATGGATATGCCTCCCCAGACCATCACTGACCCCCCACCAAACCGGTCATGCTGAACAATGTTACAGTCAGCATAATGTTCTCCGCAGCTTTTCCAGACCCTTTCACGTCTGTCACGTTCTCAGGGTGAACCTGCTCTCATCTGTGAAAAGCACAGAGTGCCAGTGGTGGACCTGCCAATTCTGGTATTCTATGGCAAATGCCAATCGAGCTCCACGGTGCCGGGCAGTGAGCACAGGGCCCACCAGAGGACGTTGGGCCCTCAGGCCACCCTCATGAAGTCTGTTTTTGATTGTTTGGTCAGAGACATGCACACCAGTGGCTTGCTGGAGGTCATTCTGTAGGGCTCTGGCAGTGCTCATCCTGTTCCTCCTTGCACAAAGGAGCAGATACCAATCCTGCTGATGGGTTAAGGACCTTCTACAGCCCTGTCCATCTCTCCTAGAGTAACTGCCTGTCTCATGGAATCTACTCCATGCCCTTGAGACTGTGCTGGGAGACGCAGCAAAACTTCTGGCAATGACACATCAATATGCGCCATCCAGGAGGAGTCGGACTGCCTGTGCAACCTCTGTAGGGTCCAGGTATCGCCTCATGCTACCAGTAGTGACACTGACTGTAGCCAAATGCAATACTAGTGAAAAAACAGTCAGAAGAGATTAGGACGGAAAAATGTCAGTGGCCCCCACCTGTTAAACCATTCCTGTTTTGGGGGTCGTCTCATTGCTGCCCCTCTTGTGCACCTGTTGTTAATTTCATTAACACCAAAACAGCTGAAACTGATTAACACCCCCCTCTGCTACTTAACTGACCAGATGAATATCCAAGAAGTTTAGTTTACTTGATGCTATACTCTGAAGCGTTCCTTTAATTTTTTTAAGCAGTGTATTTCAAAAAATATTTTTCCACCCAGAACTCCTAGTGGTTCCATAGCAGTACGAATTGGACAAAAATCCTAAAATAAATAGGAGGAAATTCACAAATGTAACACGGTCCACAAACAGGAAGTGATCCACAAATGTGCAAAACACATTGCACGTGTACAAATCGATGTTACACAACACAAATTTAAAAATACGTATTTGTGGATTCTTCTGTGGGTTACAAATAATAAATTCCAATAAAATTTTCCTTAAATGGGCCACATCCTATGAGGCACGTAACCTTGAAAAAATGTTGCCGTAAACAGTGTATTTTGCGACACCAGGAAATAAATCATAAAGCATATGAAAAGATAAACGTTTCTATTTCGTCATCCAATATATATGCTCATATATCACAGCCCTACTTTGATCCTTTGCCTCTGGTAACAAACATTTATGTGTGAATTTGAAGTATTTCCGAAAGTTTTATCACTGTAAACCCCAGCAAACCAAAACAGTGAACCAAAGCTGATGTCCTCATTGAAATTATACGAAAAATAAATACAGGAGCTGCATCTGGTGAGACTGACAGTCTGTACTGAGTGTCTGTAGGTGAGCATGCAGCAGAATGACCATCTGAGGATGGCTGTAGATCATTAAACTTTGCATGAACCATTATCTAATGTTAAAGAGCATGTGGTTAAATTTGGTTTTGCTTTGTCTATAGTTGAAAGCAGACAGGATGAGTGTCGTAGGCTGTGCCTTGAGGGGCCCTATGAGCAGTGGTCTGAGCTGCACCGTG